GCTTCACTCCGCACCTGCCCGGCAAGTGCCCAGACCTCAAAACCTTCGGGGTTTGGAGCAAATCCCTTTGAGAGCGTGAAAAACGCTGCATCGGACACTGAGGCCAACAGTGAGAGATCACGTCTCCGCACTAGGCTTTCTGCCTCGATTGTACTAAGAGGACAAACACGACTGACTCTTGCAGTCATGCTTGCACTCCACAGTTAAGGACAGGTGTACATATATATATCTCTGGAGAAACTGAAGCCCCTTTTAATCCCAATTTGAGCAAGACACTGAGATCCTCCTGTGCTGTCCTCAGTCCGCTTCTCCACTGTTCGTATAAGTTACCCCCAAGTTACCTATGATGCCCCCAAGTGATTGAACCTGGTGTAAAGACAGAATCACAAATTGATGTTTAATGCCTCCCCCTCCTCCCACGCGGGGATTTCAGACCATTTTCTTCCCTCTACGATGATGACAGTTGCACTGTTGCCAGCGCCTCCTGCTTCTTTACTGGGCTTTCCTCACACAAGCCTGTGAGCGCTGGCAGGCAGGCAGTCTGACATGCTAGATCCTGGCCATTTCTGTTGTTGTCCCCCCGCGCCCCCACACCACACACACACACAAACACGTCCAACATGTGAACGCTCCCAACAGTGGGGTGTACAAGGTGGCGGAGAGGGAGGTATCAGATTGCTAACAGGAGTAGGAAACCTTGGCTGCCTTCCCTTTTCTCAGCCGAAATCGCTGACGTCCATTAACTCGGTTCGATAAACACTGGCCAGCGTGGCTTTGTGCTGTAGCCCAGTGGTATGAGAGGGAAGGGGAGGGGGAGGGAGAAGGAGGAAGGAATCTGCCCGGGTACGTGAGTGAAGTCGTTTGGCTACTTGGGGGTGGGAGGGGGGCGGAATCCGAGGCTTTTCTTAAAGACGTTTTAATCAAATGAACAAAGAGATGCATCCGTTCAGAAAATAAATCTCATCCGAACTCAACCAGGACCATACACACATGCTCTTATATACCTCATGATAATGTGAATATGACACAAGCGTGATGAATTGGACTATTCTGAATCGACTATCAATCCCGAATAATCACCGATCATTGTAACTTGTTGATTGATTATAGTGTTGTTATGTTTTTTTTTTTGCAGGCAGTTTTTCTTCTCTTTTTTTTAAAAAAAAATAAAACTTTTCAGACGATGTCAATGTTTCTGTTTTAATCGGAAGCCGTTACAAATTGGTCTGAGAGCAGTGACGTGTAAATCTTAATGAAGACGAGCTGCCTGACAAGAAACTGACCCCTTTTTCCCTCACCCTCTCTCTCCCCCACCCCCCCTCCCCACTCCCCGGGTGTTCAAAATGCGTGAATCTTGTGTTTTTATACAAATGTACGAAAATTCCAAGTGCAATACTCCAACTGTTCTTTACAGTAGTTTTTCTTGATGGATTTAATCGTATGCGTTTTCTGTTGTAAAAGTACGATGACAGATCTGTTAATGTCTCGACTTTTCTTTCCCCCCCCCCAACCCCCTCCTGTGATCGATATGAATTGCGTTACGTTGCTTTAAAAACAAACTGCTCCAGAGCCTTTGTACATGTATTATATTATAATTATATATATATTTGTGTACTGGAGAGAAACTACTGTAAGTTTTGTACTGTCATGGCTGAAGGTCTACTAAAATAAACTTGAGAAACTCAGGAACCTGCTGACGTGTTCATTCATTTATAACGGTGAAATATACAGCGAATTCTCGTTGGTCAATGGCACACAGTGTGCATGTGAACACACGCGTGTGCTTCCATTTTCGTGTACACGCGGCGTGCTTTTTTCTTGGTCAGCCACGTGTCTCAAAACACGCAGAAACCCATCACCACGCTGAAGGTGGAAATTTGTCGGAATAGAGTACATACTCTCTCCCAGAAGGGATGCACCTGCTTCACTTAATCCTGAAATGTACTATATTAGGCTCAAATTGGCAGGAGACGAAGCTTTGGGGGGACACTGCTGGACGTTGACCATCTAAGACCACGTAGCTTGCAATTGGGAGCCCTGTCTGGCAGACTTCCTGCTGGATCCCACCACGGGACACAACACCTGCCCTAACCCGTTTTAAACTCCCCTTCCCCTCGAACGTAAATTTTGAGTGGTGGGGAACCAAGAAAAAATATTATTGTGATTGAGAAAATATTCCCGGAAGGAATGAACTGACCTATAATGATAATGATGATAATAATAATAATCTTTGCATTTGATATAGCACCTTATCACGGCTTTGAGACGTCTCAAAACGCTTCACGTGATATACTGGATAGTCCATTCACTCTATATTTTGTGGGCGAAACGTGATATAGCGCTTTTCATCTCAGGAGAACGGTTCAAGCAATTCAAGGATATACTGTATAAAGTAGTGACTGTTTTTTATAGGCAAAACACAGCAGCAAATTTGCGCGCAGCGATGCCCCACAAACAGCCGTGTTGGTCAGGATGTATGAACGGTCCCGTAAAGAAAGATGCCTCCCAATCGAACTCAGTATTTAATTTTAGGAAGATTCGCTTTACATCAGTAAATCCCGTGAAGAGCTTTTGAGGTGTCGTGACACGAAAGGTGCGATACCAAATGCAGGGATTATTGTATTAATTAATTGATGCATTAATAAATGTGCAACCGTGAATGGATTCAGTTCGCACTGGTCATGCCAACAGCGGTAAAGCTGTAACAAAAATAATCCTTGCATTGAGATAGCGCCTTATCGCGTCGGTGAGACGTCTCAAAGCCCTTCACAGGATATACTGTAAAGTGAACTGACTTCTCTTGAAGCTCTTGGGAGAGGTGAGAGTAGGAGAGAGCGAGTGAGTTGCATAGATGATCAGGTTGTTCCTGAGAGGCAGTATTGATTGCTCTGGGAGAAAATCAGTGATGTCCAACTTGGTTGTTCTTTGTCCTGGTCACTGGAGAGCTTACCTTCACAGCTAACACACTGAACGTCAACCACCGTGAATCCTGCGACGACGACGACGACAACAGACGGCATTTACACGGAAACCTTTCGGGTCAGGAGGGCGTCCCAAGGCGCTGGACAGTCAGGGATCCGCAACCAATGGTGCAGCGGATCGGAACATCTTTACATTCGAGACAGCGCCTTTCATGTCGGCGAGACGTCGCGTAAGAGCTTCACGGGATTTACCGTAAAGTGTAGCGACTGTGTGTTTCGGAGGCGAACCCAGCAGGCAACGCGCCTACAGTTACGACCCACAAGCAGGAAAGATCGATTTTATGGGGCGGCGGCGGGGGGGTGGGTGGGGGGGGTTGAGGCATTGTCAGCAGGACAACGGGAGATGGAGAAACTCCTTTCTCTTTTTGAATAGCGCCGCGAGATCTTTAACATCCACCTGAACAGGACTCAGATGAGGGGCTCGGTTTAATGTTTCATCCTAAGGACTACGCACTCCCTCCCCCAACAATGCGCTCGCTGACAAGTCTCCCAACGTGGGTCTTGAACCCACAGCCTTTTGACTTGGAGGCTTCAACGCTCCTGACTGAGTCGGGCTGACAGCAAGTTGTAAAAGACACTTGTCCCTCCCTTGGAATCAGGTAAAAACAGGATGTGTCCCTCCAGGGAGAGAGTGCGCATTCCATTCCAATAAATATCTCAGTAGTTTCCACGTGTGTGGAATTCCCAGTTTCGATTCGGAGACTCTCGAGTCCGGTGACGGGTTTCTACGTGTGTCGGGAGTGAGCGAGTGAGCGAGTGGAACTGAGTGGCTGAGGCAGTGAGAGACTGCGTGACTGTGCCTGAGTGACAGCGATCGAGTGTGTAAGGCGGTGAATGACCGAGTGAGTGACTGAGTAAGAGATGGACAGAGGAAGGGAATGAGTGAGAGACTGAGTGAGTGTTTGAGGGAGTTGTGACCGACTATCCCTTCTGCTCACCCCAAGTGCCCTCCATTACACCATTAGAGGCTGCGCTTTCAGCCACTGCGCTCCAAAACTCTGGAACACTCTCCCTCTATCCCTCCGCCTTGTCCCTTCCTCCCTTCCTTCCCCGTCTTCAGGTCGCACCTGAAGACCTTCCAAATGGACCGTGCCTACGGTCACCTCCCCCTCCCCGCCCGGCTCGCTGTCGCGCTCAGGCCACTGTCAAGCGCTCTGGGGCACTGCCCTGTGTGAGGGGCACTGTGTAAATGCAAAGAAAAGTTGACTATGTGATTGACTGTGTGAGTAAGAGAGAGAGACACAGTGAGTGGGTGAGACAGTGAGTCAGTGGGTGACACGGAGTGGGTGACACAGGGAGTGGGTGACAGTGGGTGACACAGGGAGTGGGTGACAGTGGGTGACACAGGGAGTGGGTGACAGTGGGTGACACAGGGAGTGGGTGACAGTGGGTGACACAGGGAGTGGGTGGACAGTGGGTGACACAGGGAGTGGGTGACAGTGGGTGTCACAGGGAGTGGGTGACAGTGGGTGACACAGGGAGTGGGTGACAGTGGGTGACACAGGGAGTGGGTGACAGTGGGTGACACAGGGAGTGGGTGACAGTGGGTGACACAGGGAGTGGGTGACAGTGGGTGACACAGGGAGTGGGTGACAGTGGGTGACACAGGGAGTGGGTGACAGTGGGTGACACCAGGGAGTGGGTGACAGTGGGTGACACAGGGAGTGGGTGACAGTGGGGTGACAGTGGGTGACACAGGGAGTGGGTGACAGTGGGTGACACAGGGAGTGGGTGACAGTGTCAGGAGGACACGTGGTGTCTGACCCACGTGCTCCCCGGGAGCCGCGCTGCCCGCTGGGAAGAGCCGCGCCACCGCTCGGAACTATTTCCGCTCCATCCGCGGGGACCCAGAGAGCGGGAGAGACAAAATAGTGCCGAGCGCCGGGGGGGGGGGGGTCTGGCGGCGGCGGCGGGTGTGTGGGGGGGAGTAAAAACCGTGCAGTGACCGGAGCCGGGGGGTCGGGGGGGGCGGGGGTGAGGTGACGGGGCGCGCGGGCGGTTTGAAGGGGTTCCCCGGGCACTTCCGGTGACCGGAGCGCGGCGGCATAAAGCGGGTGCGCGGCGGCTTCCGGTTCTCTTTGCCGCGGGAGAGGAGGAGAGACGACAATGGTGAGAGCGGCGGCGGCGCCGCGACTGACAGACAGACAGACAGACAGACCCCCCCCCACCCCCACCCCCCCCACCGCCCGGGGCTGAGAGAGCCCCCAACACCCCCTCCCCCCCCCCCCCCTCCCCCGGGGCCACGCGCCCAGTCCACGGCCTCGCAAAAAAGCCCCCAAACCCCGGGCCCAGGCCTCGGGCCTCGGGCTCCCGCCACAACCCCCACCCACAGAGAGAGAGGAGAGAGGGAGAGATCGGCTGTCGGTCTCCCTGTGCAGTCCTGACTCACTCCCCCCCCCCCTCCCCCCCACCCCCCACTCACTCCCCCCTCCCCCCACTCACTCCCCCCCCCCCCCACTCACTCCCCCCCACCCCCCACTCACCCCCCCCACTCACTCCCCCCCCCCTCCCCCCCCCCCACTCACTCCCCCCCCCCACTCCTCCTCCCCACCCCCCACTCACTCCCCCCCCCACTCCTCCTCCCCACCCCCCACTCACTCCCCCCCTCCCCCCACTCACTCCCCCCCCACCCCCACTCACTCCTCCCCACCCCCCACTCACTCCCCCCCCCACTCATTCCCCCCCCCACTCACTCCCCCCCTCCTCCCCCCCCCACTCACTCCCACCCCACCCCCCCACTCACTCCCCCCCACACTCACTCCCCCTCTCGGAGGGCTCTGGCGGTCGGGGTTGGTCCCCCCCCCCCCCAAGACCCCAAGATGCCGACCGTGTTGATGGTACTCCAGGCATTTGATGGTGGTAATGCCCACACAACACGACGCACAGTCACTACACTGCCCAGTGAAACCCACCCCCCCCCCCCACCGAAACGCTGTGTCGAACGCTGGGATTGTTATGGTTACGATCGTAATGAGAGCCTTCGGGCTCCGCTCCTCACTCAGGGGTTCAGGGGGACCTTTGGAGGCGCCTCACGGCTCCAGTAAATGGGGACGAGACGTAACTTTCTATCTCTCTCTCCTCCCCACCTCCACACAGCCCACCCCCCCCCCACGTTTTCGTGCGCGAGCGCACGTCCCCCGCCCAAGCGGCCGCCCTGTGAGCGACGAGTGTGTGGGGGGGGGGGGGGGTCTAGCGGAGGCGACGCGACTAAAACGGGAGCGGTGCAGTGTCGGTGGGTGAAGAGCACGAGTGGATTCGTCACTCGGTTCACTCCACGGCGCATCCTGTGAAGCGCTTTGAGACGTCTCGGAAGATGCGATCGGGGCGCCGTATCAAGTGCAAGGATCGTTACGCGCCACAACAACAACAGCTTGCACTTGCGTAGCGCCCTCCACACAGGGCAGCGTCTCAGAGCGCTTAACAGCGCCTGACTTTGACCCGGGGGGGAGGGGGGGAGGTGGCCGTAAGCTCAGTCAAAAGGGGAAGGTTTTCAGGCGGGACTTGAACAAGGGGAGAGAGGGGGGGGGGGGGGCAGGTGGAGGGTTTGAGGGAGAGCGTTCCAGAGTTTCGGGGCATAGTGACTGAAAGCGAGACCTCCGACGGCGGAAAGGAGAGCGAGAGGGACAAGCAGGAGGGCCGGTGCCAGTCGCGCAGAGGCGCCGGGTGGTGGGTTGGGGAGTGAGGCGGTCGGAAAGGGAAGGAGGTGCCAGAGAGTGAAGGGATTTGAACACGAAAACGCCAGCCGTCGGCAGAGGGGGAGGATTGGGTCCAATTGAGAGAAATATGCAGGCGACGCGAGCCGAAGTGTTAATGGCCGCTTCGGGACCAATCTCTGGTGGTTTGCGCTTGATTTTCAGACCAAGAAGCGAAGGAACAACGGGCGCGCCAAGAAAGGCCGCGGGCACGTGCAGCCGATCAGATGCACCAACTGTGCCCGCTGCGTCCCCAAGGACAAAGCCATCAAGAAGTTCGTCATCCGTAACATCGTGGAGGCAGCTGCCGTCAGGGACATTTCGGAGGCCAGCGTCTTCGACTGTGAGTTGGTGGGGGTGGGGGACATCCACACAAACACTTATCTCGGTGAGCGCGCATCAAACCTGTGGAGCAGGCTCCCCGGGGAGACAGTTGACGCAGGAGATGTTGATTCCCTCAAAACACAAATGCAAGGATTATTATTACTACAACACAGGTTGCAGACGACGACAACAACTTGCACTTGTCTAGCGCCCTCCAGGCAGGGCAGCGTCTCGGAGCGCTTAACTGGGGGAGCCTGACTCCGAGCCCAGTGGGGTGGCGGTCGAAAAGGAAGGTTTTCATACATACACACATACATAGCTCGGGACATGTGCAAGCGACCGCCAGGAAGGCGGACGGCGAACTGGATGGACCTTGGTCTGTGTTTCGTCCAGTATGTTCTTCCGGGTTTTCCGTGGCAACGGTCTATCTGGCGCAACGGTAGTGCTCTCACCTCAGAGACATAGTCTTAAGCTGATACTCCGAAGCAGTGCTGCGGGAGTCTAAAAGAGGGAGTGGGGTGCAGAGTAACGATGGGTATCTGAGGTTTGATAGACATATTAGCCGTTATATCACATGTACTGTACATAGGTCCACGGGTTGGTGTATGGGTTAGAGGAAGCTGTTGGGCTGTATATTAATTTGCCTTTTATACTAATCTCTTCCAAACACTTCTAACGCCCCTTTCGGTGAAATTATTCCTGTAGAACAAGGAATGCTTTGCCATAAGCAAATAAAATACCGTGTTTAAAAGGGAACTGGGTGAGCGTTTTGAAGAGGGATCGGTATAAAAGTGCCGGGAAAGAACAAGGAATTAGGATGAGAAAAGATGGCTCCAGTGAAGGGTTGGCGGCCTGTGCTGACATTTCTAAAAATCCCTCAAGAAAAAAAAATAATTTGGTCACTCAATCCACGACTCTTTGTGGGGACGCCGCTGTGCCGCGTTTCACCCACAAAATACAGTCACTGCACTTTACAGTATATTCTGTGAAGCGCTTTTGAGACGTCTCAAAGACTTGATGAGGCGCTGTATCAAATGCAAAGATTATTATTATCTCTATGCTGTGCGGTGGGAGGGTTTGCTCGATCTTTCTGTCTTAATTAACGAGTACAGACTGTGTGCCCTGACGACTTGCTTCTGTCTTCCAGCCTACGTGCTGCCCAAGCTCTACGTGAAGCTGCATTACTGCGTGAGCTGCGCCATCCACAGCAAAGTGGTCAGGAACCGCTCGCGGGAGGCAAGGAAAGACAGGACCCCCCCTCCTCGTTTCAGGCCAAACGTACGTAAGCGCGGTAGGATGGCGCTCAGTCACACGTGGGCTCGGCTAGTCTGCCCTCACCCGCGGCATCTTGTCAGGTTGGCACTCATTACCCCTGGCCGGTACAGTGAGCGATTGTGTTAGCCGCGCTGGGTCACAGAGGGGGGAGTCACTGGGTGCTGCTCTACCCTCTCAAGGGTGGCTTTGTTCAGGAAAGGAGGGGTCTTGCTCGACAGTTTGATCATTCTTGTAAGCTCCGCTCTCCCCACCCTCGCCCCGACTCCACTGACTCCCCGTCCCCACAGAGGATAGAGTTCGAAATCCTCGGCCCTGCTCCTCCCTACTTCTGTGACCTGCTAACCCCATATCAACCCGTCCGCTCCCTCTGCTCAGCAGCCTCCGGCCTCCTCCGTATCCTCCTCCCCACCATCGGCGGTCGGGCCTTCAGCCTCTCCACTCCCACCCTTTGGAACTCCATCCCACAGTCCCTTTGCCTCGCTCCCTCCCTTGTGTTTGAGACATTCCCCCATGCCAACGGTGCACAGAATAAGGAGCGTCTGGGCCCGCGGTGGCAGTTACCAGACAAATTACTATTTGTGCCTTTATCCTCACGTTTGTTTTCTGTTGTTCACAGCCATCCATGCCACGTGGACCTCCACCAAAGCCGATGTAAACATCAGGAAATCGAATCGAATCCATTATTCTCTGGATAAACAACAATGTTGGACCATTAAAGGTTTACCTTCCTCTTGTCAGTGGTGCTGTCTGTCTGTGTGTGTTCAGGAGCTGCTGGGCATGAGAGGGAGGCTGAGGGGGCTGGAGTGGGGGGTGGAGGGGTGGGAGGAAGGTGCAGAGACTTGGAGTAATGGCTCAGGGGAGGAATGGGAGAGTCTGGCATCGTATTGAGAGCAGTTCAGGTCCGTACAACATTAAAATATTGTTCCGCGCATCCAATGATCTGAAAAAACACTGCCCAGGAGATCATCCCCAGATTTATAGCCATTTCATTTAGGAAAAATCTCACCCCAGGCGGGTGCAGAATTGTCTGGACATCAGAGCCCGTCGACGGGTGAGGAACATCAAATGGGCCCCCGTGCAGATCACTGGGAGAGATTCCCCGGCAGAAGGGTTTGCGAAGACGTTGATCCTGTAGAAGCTCCACTTACGTACCTGTGGCTCCCAATCACTGAACGGATCGATCTCGAGATCCTCTCGTCTTCAAATCGCTTCATTCCCTCGCGCCTCCCTACCTCTCCGACCTGCTTACTCGCTCCCCCCACCCCCCCTCCGCCACCCGCTGCCTCCCCTCGGCTCTGCTCCACCATCGTTGGCTATGCCTTCGACCTCTCCACTCTGGAACCGTCTCCCTCAATCCCTCCGCCTCGCCCCCTCCCTCCCGACCTTCAAATCCCACTTAAGAGACCTTCCTTTTTGATCGTGTTTAGGGTCACCTCCCCCCCCTCCCTCTCCCCCTGGCTTGGGGTCAGACTCCACCCCTGTGAAGCGCTCCGGGGCACTCGTTACCCCACGTGAAGGGACGACGCGTAAATGCAAGTGGTTTACGCTGCGGTTCTGCGACACGGCCACGAGGTGGCACTGCTTCGTTAACATTGGCAATCATCCCTTCCCATAAATAATAATAATAGTAAAAATAATAGTAATAATTGGGTCACTCAATCCGCGACTGTGGGACGCTGCTGCGCGCGAATTGGCTGCTGTGTTTCGCCCACAAAACTGCGCTGCTCCTTTGGCCACAAAAGTATACAGTCGATTCACTTCGCCGTATATTCTGTGAAGCGCTTTGAGGCGTCTCGAGGACGTGATAAGGCGCTGTATCAAATGCCGGGATTATTATTATTATCGACGCTTTCTGTTTCCACTGATATCAACCCAAGGGCTGACTGTAAGGTTGTTAAGAGTTGCTCTGACTTAAAAGGGGGGAGAAAAAACAGCCAGAGCTTCAGCTCGTCAATCACTAAACAAACAAGTCATATAATGGAACCTCAGTTAACCAGATCTCGTGGGTTTGGCAAGACATTTTATTAAAATAACAATCTTTGCAGTTGATACGCCATCAACAGCACAAGAACACAAGGAACGCTGGACAAAAAACAGACCGTGGTTCCATCTTAGTTTGCCTTCCACCTTCCTGGCGGTGACCCGCATATGATTCCCAAACTAACTATGTCCCATGTCCCATAATGTTATTTCCTAAAAGAAAACGATCTCATCTGCGTTTGAAGGAATATAAGAAGATAAAGCGTCACTGAGCACTTCACGGGTTATGACTCCCGAACAATCGTCAACTATACCTGTCGGGGCTGTACAGGAGCTGAATCGCATCAAACAGACTCCCATAACACCGAGGCATTGAACCAGTCTGTCTGTTCAGGTGGACACCCCATGACGCTACCAGAAGCTTTAAACTTATGTTAAATATCCCCCAAACTTCGGAATTCTCTCCCCCAATCCCCCCGCCGTGCCCACTCTTTCCCCTCTTAGATCACGACTGACAACTTTCCTCTTCGACCGCACTAATGGTCACCTCCTCCCTTCCCCTCGACTCGGCCTCAGGCTCCGCCATTGTCAAGGGTCCCGAGAAGCTACGCTGCGTGAAGGATGCTGTGTAAATGTAAGTATTTGTTGGAAGGGGAAGGAGATTCTCTCCCGGTGACCCGGGCAACAATCCTCCCCAATTACATTGGTTCATTTTGTCCAGTTCAATTGCGCACAGCAGCGTCCCACAAACAGTCGCGGATTGAGTGTCCAAATTATTATTATTTATTTATTTTGAAGGGATTATTCCCCCGGAAAAGCGTCCGCCCGATGATAAAGATGCCGTGTAAATGTCACGTGTTGTTGTTGCAACGGACTGAGTCAATTGCAAACAGCCAATTTGCATTGTTAATCCTATCACATTATTTGGAAATTGTCTTCTGGTCTTTGAAGGTCTCAATGTTTTCCCCATTAACTGCTGACAATATACCCTCTGTCTCCAAAAACCTTTGGGATTTTCCATTGGATTATTATTATCATCATCATCATTAGTGTGAAGGTTCCTCTACATAGATTGGATTTCCCCCTCGTCCTCCCTCTCTGGTTCGCCCCCCCTCTCTCCCGCCCCCGCCCCCACCCCCACTTCACCTACAACAACAACTTGCATTTACATACGCAAACTCCAGGAATATATGAAAGATTGAAAAAAATCAGATCATTGAATACTTATAATACTTACGTTTCATCAGCGCCTTTCACGTCAGTGAGACGTCTCAAAGCACTGCGCAGGAAACACCGTAAAGTGGAGTGACTGTGCGCTCTGTGAGTGAAACGTGTTTGTTGTTTTAAAGAAATACTTTCAGTCCGTGGTATAGAAAAATCAATTCGAGCATTCCGCACACCTAAATATTTTCCTTCCCAATATTGCCGTCTCAGGAACGGTCCATAAATGACTGTTTATTATCTTTTGGTTAGGAAAGTGCGAAGTTTTGAGAGCTGCAGAGAATGAGAGAAGTCAACTGCAGATTTCAGCTCTGTGGAGGGAAAAACGTTGCGAGTGAAATTGGTAAAGGTGTGTAAAGGTGTCAGCCGGGCTCGGTCGCTCACTCTCTCGCACCCCAAGTTTCTCTCCTGGTGTCCTGACCCAAAATCCCCCAGATAGAATTGTAGAATTAATAATAATAATAATAATAATCCTTGCATTTGATATAGCGCTTTTCACGTCGGGCGGACGTCCCAAAGCGCTTCACAGAACACACTGTAAAGTGAATTGACTGTATATTTGTGGGCGAACGCGGCAGCCAATTGCGCACAGCAATGTCCCACAAACAGTCGTAGATTAAAAATGACCAATTTATTATCGTTTTGGTTTTGGAGGATTATTATTAGGCTCTGTGTGGAGTAAGGAAACTTGCCCAAGGTTTGGCCCTCTGCCTGGAATTGAACTCAGGTCTCTCGCTTGCAAAGCGAGTGCTCTAACCACTGAGCTACAGGACTCCACGGCCTGGAGCTCACCTACAAGGCCATTCACGGCCTCGCTCCCTCCTACCTCTCCGACCTACTATCCCCCTACCTACCCGCCCGTACCCTCCGTTCCTCCGGCTCCGGTCTGCTCCACGTCCCCCGCCCCAACCGCCCGACCATCGGTGGCCTTCAGCCTCTCAGCCCCGAGGCTCTGGAACTCCATCCCCAGTGCCTTCGCCGCTTCCTCCCTTTCCTCCTTCAAGGCCGGTCTCAAGACCTTTCTCTTTGACCTTCAGCCTTCAGCTCCCCTCTCGACTCTCTACCCCCTCCTCGCCCCCTCCCTTCCCTCCCCTCACCCTGACCATTTCCCCCCCCAATGCTCGGGTCCTGACCCAACTGTACAGCGCCTCGGGACGTCCTCCCGACGTGAAAGGCGCTCTATAAATGGAATCTTGTTGTTGTTGTTGTTGTATTTGTACACCTCGCGGGTGTTTGCGGGACCCGATTGTGTGTAAATCGGACGCTGCGTCTGAATACAATCCACACAAGTGCACTGCGCGGCACAGTAAATCCTGCAAATGTTTCAACGCTTTGAAATGTTAGGATCACGTGATGAGGATGTTTTATTATTATTTAATCTTTCTCATCGTGAGTTGGCCTTTGGAGCATTATTCAAGGCTATTTAGGTGGTAAATGTGGCGGTGGGGGGGGGAGGAGGGGGGGAGATGGGAGGAGTGACAGTTTCAGGCTATTTATGTTTCCTTAAAAAAAAGGTGTTCTCTCATGTGATTTGGTCGCACGTAGCTCAGTGGTTAGAGCACTCGCCTGGCAAGAGAAGGGGACTTGGATTTGTTTCTTGGGCTGGAAGAAACTTTGGGCGAGTTGCCTTACTCCACACACACACACGCGCACACACACGCGCACACACACACACACGCGCACACGCACACACGCGCCTCCGTTTCCCCAGCAGCGAGCAGGAACCTGGTTGTTAGTCGGTCGGCAGATCGCTTTTCCCGGGGATAATCATTTCTTCCAAACGAAACAGTAATCATAATAATTCGGACACTCAGTCCACGGCCGTTTGCGTGCGGGGACGAGGGTAGCGGCCCAGAGCGCTTTTGCGTAGCAAAGGCACGTGTCATTATTATTATTATTATTATTATTATTTTTTTACAGTCACAGAGAGAGAGAGAAAAACACAAACACCCTGCAATTTTGGACGCTGAGGATTCACACCTTCCCGATTGCCTGCGATTGGTTTCAGGGAGGTATTGGGACATCAGCCAAATCCCATTGGATCTCTACAGCTGAATCGGAATTGACAGCAGAGAGAGAGAGAGAGAAGAGTCACACACACACACACACACACAGAGAGCTCAGTGTGAAACTAATTTAGAGGCGAGAACATCGGGCTAAGTTTTATGGGGCGACGAAACTTGAGTCCAAAAAAGTTTTTAAAGAGGGTGAAACCCAGAGCATTTTACCCCCAAATCTCTCTGCACCCCAGCCCCCTCCCCCCCCCCACTCCCCGCCCCCACCCAAAAATAAATCTCCAGCTCCAAACCATGGAGTGAGTGAGTGAGTGAGTGATTCCCCAGGTGGTTGGACATTGTAACACGGTGGGAAGAAGACAACATGAGGATTTTCTGGATCTTGGACTTGTGTTGGCTGTGGATTATACATCGTGTGGCCTCGCAGGCAGGTAAGTCGATCTTCTACAACCTTGTAAAGGTGTGCGTGTGTGTGTGTGTGTCTGATCTGTCATACGCGCTCTCTCTCTCTCTCTCTCTCTCTTCTTGATACAGACCAGTCCAGACCAATCCCGCATTATTTAAAAATCCACTTCAACTAAACTCTCTGTCACCTTGAAGTTCACTTTGCTCACTGCTGTCTGTGACCTCGACTCTTAAAACTAGTGTTGGGACGTCCTCCCGACGTGAAAAGGGCTATATCAAATGCAAGGATTATTATTATTATTATTATAGAGACAGCGCCAGAGATTTGGTGTATTGAGTGTGTGTGTGTGGGAGAGTGGGGGTGGGGGGGGGGGGGGGAGTATGTGTGTGCGTTTGTATGTGTGTAGGTGTCTGAGTGAGTGTGTTTGTGTGTGAGTGAGTGAGCGAGTGTGTGTCTGAGTGTGTTTGGTTGTGAGCGAGTGTGTCTGTGTGTCTGAGTGTGTTTGTGAGTGTGTGTGTGTCTGAGTGCATTTGTGTGTCTGTGTGTCTGAATGTGTTTGCGTGTGAATCAGTGAGTCTGTGTGTGAGTGAGTGAGTGAGTGAGTGTGAGAGTGAGTGAGTGTGAGAGTGAGTGAGTGAGTGTGTGTTGCAAACTGAAATCAGTAGCTGCGAAATTCTTGTGTGTTTAAGAGGCAAATTGGTTGGAGTTGTTCCCTTGGGAGCAGGAAAAGGCTGGGGGGAAGCTGGGTGCTGGGGGGACGTATGTCTATCCGGCGGGGGGGGGGGGGGGTAGTCCCACAGTCGGGGGGATGGGGACTGTCTGGGGGGATCTGGTGTGGCTCTCTGGTGGTGGGGGTGGGGGGGGCTGTGTGGGGGCACACAGTGGGGAGTGGGGGTGGGGGGGGGGGTTACGCAGTGGGTGAAATCAGCTTGGGATGCACCTGTTAGAGGGTGAAATTCCACCTGGTCTCTTGGCATTAAAACAGAGTAGAATTGTGGGCTGTGTGGGAACTCGGGTCTCAGATTGGTTTTGTGACGCTGCCGGGGGGTGGTGGGGTGGGAGTGGTTGGGGTGGTGGGGTGGGGGGGGGGTGGTAGTGGGTGGTGGGGGGGGAGTTGGTGGAACAGCTTCCAAACCACGACTGATTTAAAGGACCCATCGTCTCGGAAAGTCCTCCTGACGTGAAAGGCGCTGTACAAATGTAACTTGATTTTCCGCAATCTTGGCCGATCTTAAGCGGGGACGGGACGGGATGGGACGGGACGGGACGGGACGGGTGGGATATCGAGGCGCCGGAGCCCTTCAAACACACATGCGCAAAATCTGGCACTTTGCCCACATTGTGAGGCCGACTCCATGATGTAGTCCCGTCGTACAGTACATTGACCTTTAATCTCCGCACTTAAATTTGCCGAGGTTCGCAGCTCTCTCTGTGTGTGTGTGTGTGTTTGTGTGTGCGGTTTTTTTTTTTTTGCTAACGTCTCTCATTTCAATTCTTCCTCTCAGAGTTTCTGAACTTTTTCCCGACCAGGAATGTCGAGAATTCCTTTTATTATTTCGTTCCGTTTCGGGATCGGGTGGGGTGGTGGTGGGTGGTGGTTTAGGGGGGGGGTGGGGGGGGGAACCAGGAGGGGAAGGGGAAGGGAAGGGGGGGGTGTGGGGGAATGTGGAGGTAACGTGGTTCAAATACTTTGTCAACGGGACTTGTAAACCCAACCCTTACTGTACGCAACTGATTGGCTGATTTACGTTTGAATTTAGGCCATTGCTTTTTGTTTGGGATTCGGGAGGGGTTGCATTTTTCCACCTTGATTTACACTCCAGATTGAGTCTGTTCTCAGGTAAAACCACAACTGCCTATTTGCATCCCACCACAGCTGTGTGGACGCAAGTTTAATCCTTCGCTCATTCGGAATCGCTGGGGTCTGATTGCAGGCATTTGCGAATAGGAACTTTGACAGCAAAATACACAGTGTATTCTTATTTCTCGTTCTGCGTGTGTTTGGGCGCGTGTCTGCCTCCGTGGGTTGCGTGTTGAAGGGGGTGAGGGGGCGTGCGCTTGGGTTTGTGGGGACGAATTTAAGGGAGACGCACGGACGGAGCCTGAGATAAATGGGAGTGATGGCTGAGTTGGGCTCGGGGTCAGGGTTTGACCGGGCCGCCTGGTGCGCAGCGCTGGCAGGGGTGTGGGGTGTGAGGCCGAGGCTGTGTCCCACACAATGTTAGGCCCACGACTGAAGCCCTTTGTCTTCGGCCACGTTTGCGGTCGCCTTAGACCTCCCCGACTCGGTCACGCTCACCCGCTGTTAAGCGCTCCGAGACACTGCCCCACGTGAAGGGTGCTATGTAAATACAAGTTGTTGCTGTTGCTGTTTGGAGCGTTGAGTGAGGTCGAATAGTAATAATAATAATCCTCGCATTTGCCACAGCGCCTTATCACGTCTTCGAGACGTCTCAAAGCGCTTTACGGAATATACCGTAAAGCGAATTGACCGTATGCTTTGTGGGCGAAACGCGGCGGCCAATTGCGCACAGACCAGCAGTCGTGGATTGAGGGACCGAATAATTATTATTATTTTATTGCTTTCGGAGGAATTATGACCTCTGGAAAAGTGATCCGCCAATTGACTAACAACTGGGTTCCTACTTACTGCTGAGTAAACAGAGGCGTGTGTGTGAGTGTGTGTGTGTGTGTGTGGAGTAAGGAGACTTGTCCTGTCCCCGAATGGCACCAAATGAGTCCCCGTTGCCTTAACCAAACCCCATCGGGCAGACAAGACGAGAGGTCCTATCCATACCAAGCAAACCGTTAGCACCCACGCGTTCAGCCTCTACGCCCCGACTCTCTGGAGCTCTCAACCCCTCGGCCTCGTCCATCTTGACCCGTCTTCAGATCGCACTTGAAGACCTTTCCTCTTGAACCATCATCACCCCTTCCCCCCACTCCCTCTCCCCCCCAGCTCGGTGTCAGCGTCCACCACTGTTAGGCACTGCGAGACCCTGTGTTGCACAGGGGCGCTGTTATACCTCAGGCAGCTGTTATGTAACATCCCTCAACACGATCAGAAAAGCGAAGAGAGTTTCCCTCTCCTGCTTTCCTGGGACTGGATCGAGTGGTTGATTATTACTATTTTATTTCATGTTCGTCTGATTTCCTGTCTGGGGTCTGAGCTCTGTGTTTTTTTTCCTTCTCCTGTTTGACGTTCACGAGTTGTTGGGGGTCAGGGGCGGCCGAGAGGGTAAATGGGGAGAGGAGGGGTGGGGGGGGGGGAGGGTTTCGATCTGAGGTCAGGAGTTTCAGGGACCGGAGAAGAGGGCGAATTGAAGGTAAAGCCTTTCAAAGCAGACGCTGCTTGAGCCAGAATCTCCCGGATATGATTTCATTGCTGCCTTTGCCAGGACTGAGCCGGGCACCTGAGCCAACACTGAGAGCTGAGTCATCACCTGATCTGGAACTCTCTCCCTCTATCCCTCTCTCCGCCTTGTCCCTTCCCTCCCCATCATCAGGTCGTACCTGAAGACCTTCCTCGACAACCGTCACCTCCTCTCTTCCCCCCCCCCCACCCCCCCCACCGACCCTACTCCACTCCCCTGCTCCATCCTATTCGACCGTGCCTCTCCGTGACCCTATCACCCACACCACCCACCCGCACCACCCTCGCCCGGCTCCCCATCCCCCACCGGATAGAGGTCAAAATCCTCATCCTCACCCACAAAGCCCTCCACGGCCGTGCTCCTTCCGACCTCAGCGACCCTCTGGAACTCCATCCCACAGTCCCTTCGCCTCCTTCAAGGCACGTCCCAAGACCCTCCTCTAGGACCGCATCTTCGGCCACCCTCCTACCCCTACCCTCCACCCCCTCCTGACCCCCAACCCCCAGGTGCACACGCCTTGGGACGTCCTCCCGACATGAAAGGCCCTGCGTAAATGTCAGGCGTTGTGGGAAACAGCTCGGGGGTGGATGGGAAAGGCTGAGGTACCAGAACTCGCCCATTCCCCAGTCCATTGCCTCATATTACAATGGTGTTCACATTAGCGATCATGTAGTTCAATCCAGAGAGCCCCCTCCCCGCTACCGGATACCCTATTTGCTACGACGAGGCAAGAGAGACGCGACTGAGTCCCGTAGCTCAGTGGTTAGAGCGCTCGCCTCGCAAGCGAGAGGACCCGGGTTCAATTCCCGGGGGGATGGGGGGGGGGGGGACAGAGCGAAACCTCAGGCAACTTTCTTTACTCCGCACACGCGCGGCTCCGTTTGCTCAGCAGTCAGTAGGAACGCGGTTGTTGGTCGATCGGTGGATCGCTTTCCGGGGATCATAATCCCTCCAGAAACAAAAATGTGGTCACTCAATCCACGACTGTGTGTGTGGGGGTGAGGGGGGGTGGGGGGGGGGGTTCACTGCGTGCGCACGATTGCGGGAGAGTGGGGCGGAGGGGGGGGGGGATGTGTGAAGAGGCGAATCATTGCTGCTTGGCAAAGGTGTCAGTCACTTGGCTCAGTATGTTTCACATTGACGGCATCAATTAATTATCTCACTGCAGAGCTTGTTGCTGTCTGAAGCTTCGATGATCTCATTCCCCGCCCCCCCCCCCGCCCGCCTTTTGCCCACAAAACATACAGTCACTACACTCTGCAGTGCGTCCCGTGAGGCGCTCTGAGACGCCTCGAAGACGTGATCGGGCGCTGTATCAAATGCGAAGATTATCGTTGTCGTTATTTACTATTCAACAATATTATTTGGGGAAACCGTCCCTCAGAGTCTGGAGGTAGAATAGTTTTTCCCCCACTCTCGTCCCGCTCACTTTGTGGGGGGCGGGGGGGAGAGCGAGAGGGGGGTGGGGAGAGGGGGTGAGGGGGGGGCGAGGGTGTGAGAGTGGGGAGGGGGCGAGAGAGAGAGAGAGAGAGATAGAGAGAGAGAGGAGAGGGAGAAAGAGGAGGTTGAACCGCCTGTTAGTAGTGCGAGCGAGTGAGCCGAGTGTTCCAGACACTGTCGCCCTCTCCACCTGTGTCTCTCCGGCTCCGTC